AATGATTAACTTATCAAAAACAGCTTATTACCGGTTTGACACCGGTATAAGCAGTTTTCTTTTTCTTATCCAAACACCAGAAAACAGCTTATCACCGGTGCCAGACTGAAATAAGTTAAAAAACAGCTTTTATAAACAATCCCAAACATCCCCTTAATTTAATACTAATATAAATATTTTTTTAAATTTATATTTTAATAAAAAAAATAAAAATATTATCATTTTCTAAAACTATATAAAACTGTTTATATAAAAAAATAAAAATAAAATAAAACATTAAAATAAAAATATTTTACTACATGAGTCTCCTAGTTTTATTTAATGAAGTTTAGCAAAGTTGTTCATAGTTGAAAGTAAACCACAATGACCACTCTAAATTGTAAGTAGTTATTGTTACAGTGTTAGAGCACTAAACACAGCAGTGACAACATGTGAGGAGGCCAGGTGCAGGGGCAAAGGCTTTCGTTCCCCAAAAGCGATACATGTCGACGAACAAGGTGTGCATCTCAATTCTATGCTCTCTGCAAATTCCATGACAAAGATGACGGTTCGACGATGAATATTAGGGTTTATTCTTGCACATTGAGGCTTTGAAGGTGTTGATTTTTTCCCTGCTAAAATTGATGATAAATATACGAGATTTTGAACTTGTATTGACATTTGCTTGTGATTTTGATTAATGTTCATTATTTGATTGTTAATTTATATTTGATTTGATAAATTGAAATTGAACTTACTCTTCGTAATAACCACAAGGTTAAAGGAACAATTACAAAAATACTTATTCTTTTTTATAACCGTGAAATGAGGAAAATATGATGGATATGTCCTTTTTCATATCAGGTACATAATCGTGTGGTTGGTTTTGTATATGAACAAAAGTAACAGTAATGTTATATATTTTTTAATTATTTAAAAATATTATTTTGAAAATTAATCGATGGTTACATGTGGTTTTTGAATTTGGTTTGATGACGAATAGGTTATTAATAGAAAGATTGCAAAAATTAAATCATTTTGTTGTTTTGGTGAGAGTGACGTGTGTGGTCTACGGTTTGAATTGTTAGTTCTTTGAATATTGTAAACGGAAATTGACTCAAATAATCATTCCCTTCGTTTAAATTGCTCTTCTAGTTATTCCTCTTTTGGGTTTACCTAAATGTCACTGTGTCTGCAATTTCCTCGCCCATAATATTACAAACCTGGCTAAAAGAAAAGAAAAAGATTATCAGATTCAACCCAGGTACGCAATTGCAAAGGCAGGTCTGCAATTACGACGGCCATGATCATAATTGCGACGGTCCCACTTGCTAATCTGATGGAGTTTGAATTTTCTTTTGTATTTTAGTCGGGTCATGTGGATATTATGAATGTAGTAACATTTGGATAAATCCGAAAAAGAATGGCTAAAAGACCAATTTAAATAGGTAGAATGAAAATCTTAGTCAATCTCCCTTTTGTGAAAAGAACATTCAAATAACAACCACTGATTACACACATTCTAATAACGACACATGCTACTACCTTCTATTTCTTTTTTGACTCTTCAATCAAGTTTAACTGTATAGAAACATTTTCTTGAAATCCCCACACACACATCCTCTCTCTCTCTCTCTTGAAAAATGCTGGTGAAGAAGGCACTTTTTGCTTATTTTATGGCATTGAGCTTTATGTTGCTGCTCAATTTTGCAGAATCTACTGTGCCACAAGAAGAAGGTAAAACAGATCCTTGAAATGGGTTTCTGAATTCTCTAATGAATTCCCAAGAGAATCAAATGAGAAAAAACTGGATTTTTGACATAATCTTCGTCTACTGTAAAGAGTCCCATAAAACCATTTGAAGATCTTTAATGAATCTTTTCATATTGATTGTGGAGTTTGAAATTAGTGAAGGTAGTCAAGGGATAAAAGAAGGGTTTTCTTGTGGGACTTGTGATTGTTACAATGATTATAGTTTTTCTGCATCTGTGTAATTTGCTTCTATTTTCTTTGTGTGTGCCACACCAGTTAACAAGTTAGAAGGGAGTAACTTGTCAAAACTCTGGTGCCAAACACGTATAAGTATTTCTCTTTTTTTTTCCCCATCCAAACACTAAAAACAAAAAGGAGATTGAAGTAAAAAGCCAAGCTAAAGATGCCCTCAAATTGTTGATGTTGAACTAAAAGGTAAGAATGGAACCTGGGTGATGCCGGAAATCGATATATATATATATATATATACATGGATCCTTCAACTCACTGCCAATTGGTTTCAAGCTTGAATCACATAATTATCTTTACCTTCCTAAGGTTTGTGTATATTGGATCTATAAAATGGAGATGAGAAATCAAGTGAAGTGGACTAAATGAATCAAAGTTAAGCTTGTTGAACTTCTATATGAAATTACTTCATAGTTTTTCATTGATATCGTTCAGTGCGCGCCCTTGAAGAAATTCTGAGTTCAATGGGTGCAACAAATTGGAGGTTCAATGGTGAGTCTTGCCAACTTGAGGCAATTTCTGAACTGCCAAAGCTCAATCAGGAAGCTCTTGCTAGTGTTAAATGTACCGATGCCTGCAATAATGGGAACTCCAGCAACTGCCATGTCATAAGCATGTATAACGATCTTGTCTCATATGTTCATTGATGCAAATTAATATCTATATTTATCTATTACAACTGGCTTGCTATTTGCATTTTAGTCCTGTTGTTGAACATCTATCCGGATTTTCATTACTGCAGTGAACACAAGTTCTATAGTCTTGGTGGTGTTCTTCCACCTGCGCTTGTGAAGCTTCCATACCTCCAAACTATGTAAGGTCTCTTGTAGATGCAATGGTATATCATGCAAGTTAAATTTATTGGAACTAATTATAAATCTGTTATTCCTTTCTCAGCGATTTTGCTTACAATTATCTTAATGGCACAATACCTGCTGAATGGGCTTCAACACAGTTGCAGTCAATGTGAAGCCTCTTTCTTTTATTTCATCTCCGTTAACTTAAGTTGTAAGCCTTTTACATTTATCTTTCGTTGCCTTTACCCACAATGTTGCTGTGCAGATCTCTTCTGGGAAACCGCTTAACCGGGGAAATACCACGAGAACTAGGGAATATTACCACCCTCAAAATTCTGTAGGTGTTTCTGTTCATTTGCCATTTGAGGAAATGCTAGTTTCTGTTGTTGTTTGGACCAAAACAGGTCAAACCTTTAAGATGATTAGATCATAAATATAAGTGGAGGAAACCAATATTATTTCATTCATCGTCTTTATGGCTTTTGGAATGAGTGTTTGACTTCTGAAACCATCATACTTACTTTTTCGTTGTAAACAAACCATCATTCTTGCGAAAATGTAAAGAAAAATACTACTTTTGGCAAGGATGAGCCATGTTGGACAAAAGGGTCGACAGTGATGGATGTTATTGACATTAACATTTCCGGGTTGGGTTCAGTGAGAATGAAAGTTATGGTGAGAAGGGTAAGAAAAGATCTCCACCATTGGATCAATCCTAATTGAAGAGAAACACTAGATCAAGTGTAATGAGATACACCAAATCAATTCCCTTTTAAAGTGCAATTCATGAGTTGGTTTGAGATTAAAAATGATCAAGGGTTCAAATCCCTTCTTATACTTCTCGTCTTAACTCCTATTCTCACATGAAAAAGTCAATCTCTCATAAAACAGAGAACTCAAGACTTTCATCTTCGGCTTGTAACAAGAAATTTTGAACAGGAACCTTGAAGCAAACCAATTTTCAGGAAGTGTTCCTTCTGACCTTGGGAGATTAATCAGATTGGAATCTTTGTAAGGATGATTAAAGTCTTCCATTTCGTTCATTCTCTAATTGATGAGCTAATTATTCATGAACTGATGCATGAAGCAACCAATTTTATCCAGGATCTTGTCTTCCAACAGGTTGACGGGGACCTTGCCAATGTCCTTAGCTGAATTGAGAAACTTGACTGATTTGTAAAAGCTTTTACACTTGTAAATTGGTTCATACTCCATCTGTTACAAAAGAAGGCCTACTTTGATTTTTGAGGTCAAAGATCTTAAGACTAGAAAACAAATATAGAATTTTGAGGTTGTCTACAAATAGAAGTAGTACATTTTATTTGTAATATTTATTATAGAGATGGACACAATAATCATATGTTCTTCACAATTCAGTGAAGCCATATCATATCTGAAGTTGAATAATAGGACATTGACCTCAAAAGTGGAAGCATGTATCTTTGTTTTGTAATGGAGAGGTTACTTTTTGTCTTCACATTGTTGAAATTTTAACTAATACCATCTTTCTTGCATGATTCAGTAGGATAAATGACAACAACTTAAGTGGGCCTATACCCAATTTTATACAGAATTGGAGACAACTCACAAGATTGTAAGATTAATCTCTCTTTGTAATATCTTCTGATAACCAAGATCCTGCCTTTGCTATTAAGCAGTGCATTATTGCTTTCACCTTATTTTTTTGAAATCTTTTTGAAGAGAAATGGTCGGGACTGGGCTGCAGGGACCGATTCCTTCAACTATATCTCTTCTTGAGAATCTACATAATTTGTGAGTGTGTAATCACTTCTAAAAGTTTCTGTTCCAAGACCCCCTTTTTGTGTTTATGTCAGTGATTAGTAGATGTTGCTACCTTCTTTTGCAGGAGGATTTCTGACTTAAATGGACCAACTCAGGGATTTCCTCCACTGGATAATGCTATAGGAATAGAAACGGTGTAAGTAGATGATTTTGGTTTCTACTTATCGCTGAATGAATCATACATTTGGTCCACATAAATTTTGAGGTAGACCTGTTTCACGAATTCAGGATATTGAGAAATTGCAACATATCGGGAGAAATACCTTCTTATATTTGGCAAAAAAGAGAACTTCTAATGCTGTAAGTAACACACCTAACGATTTTGTAGATTCATATTATGTGGTAAGTGTTAATAGGAACTTTCTGTGTGGACTCACAAAGTGAATAAGCATACTGCTAATCTTTCTGTCTCACAAAAGTTGCAGGAATTTCCATTTGAGGGTGAGAATGAAAATGCAATGTTTCTGTATTTGGTAATTTTTGGGCTAAAGTATATATTTCCTAAAAGTCAAGTCCTTACAAACTAATCAGGCTAATTCGTTAAGCTCACAAGATTTTCTTTCTCTTTTTATTTATTGCAGGGTATTTAGACCATACTTCATTTGTCAAATATTAGTATTAAGTAATTCTATGAGTAACACTTTTTATGGGACGGAGAGAATATTCTTTAGCTTTTTTACTGACTGAGTATTTATCTATACTATCTTATAAAGCATGTGGCTAAAACTCTTAAAAACTCTTAAAAACTCTTAAAGCTCTTAAAAACTCTTCATAACTCTTAAACCCGTTCATCCCTAAATGATTTCATCCCTATCCGATTTCATCCCATATCTGAATTCGTGTAACTAACTGCAGATAAACACAA